ATGTTTTATGAAGTTTTGAGCATTTTCAAAAAAAATTTTTCTTTGACCTTTGACCCTGACACAAACAGACAAACTATTTTTTTTCATATGACCCTACTTTCAGTCGAGGGAATAAATTCAATCTCTTAGTTTTATCCATCCATTCAGTATTAATTATGGATAAGATATTTAGCTGTCTTAACAGAAACGTTCCTTAACATTATACAAAAAAATCATCAATTTTTCGTCAAAACTATAATTATTAGATAACTCTAACTTTTCTTATTGCTTTGTGTTAAATCTTAGCTGGTTTTCTTAAACTTATTCTGTTTCTTTACTGAAAATTTATTGAAAAGTTGTCTCTTCGCCGATTTATATTTCTTTTCATCAAAGTCAAATGTTATATCCACTTACCACAAGAATTTTCTATAGAGAATTTTTGAATTCGATCATTGTCTGGATCCACAACAAACATGTTACCAAAACTATCAAAACTCATCGCCACTGGTTCCTTCAATTGATTCGATTGAGAAACGTGTTCATAACATCCAAATAAACACCGAAAACCGTACGGTCCTTCTCCAACCACACGAGAAAGCCAAGTATCAACTATAAATAAATAATTATTTGCATCCAACGTAATCCCGCTAGGACCATTAAGTATAATAGTTAACTTATAAGATCGTTGACCAGCGACTGTAATGGCATTTTCTTCTCCATATAAGCATAATTGTATTCGGTGATTCCCTCTATCTGCCACAAATAAATTTAAGTTCATATCAACAAAAATGCCAATAGGACTTTTAAGTTCATTGGGATTGGATCCTTCATAACCTGTTCCAGCAACACGAATGGATGTCATCGAAGAACTCTTCAAGTTTCTTTTCACTACTTGATGATTATCACCCAGTGAACAATACAAATCATCATTGATATCGATAAAGAGACCATAACATGATGAGTTTATATTCATAACACTTTCAAAAGTGTGTGTCTTTGAATCCCATCTCTGCACTGTTGAATTGCTCATATGCTCATTATCAAAATAAATATCACCATTTGATGTTACAAATAGAGATACGGGATATAAGAAATCATCCAAAGTAATGTATGTGAAATTAAGATTATTTTGATTCCATATTAAAATCTTCTTTTTAATTTTATTAATTGTATAAATTGTGTTATTTGTATTGATAAAAATAGTCCAGAGCGATTCTCCAACAATGGATCGATCTGCAAAAGGGATAGCATTGTGATTCCAAGTTGCGCTTGGACATAATTGTGGTTGATTAAATGAAATAACTAAAATATAAAGAAATAAAATAAAAAAAAGAATTTTCCCAACAAATATTTCACTATATAATTCAATTCGAGAGATAAAACTAAAAATTTCTATAAATAGTTCATAAAGTTAATATTGATATTTAAACGAAAATAGACTTAATTTTCTACGCACATCTATTGAGTTATTTCTCTAATTAATTAAATATTTATTCTATAAACAATTATTTCACTTTCACATTATTGTTGATTAATTTTAAAAGAAATTTTCTACGTTAAATATCTCCTATTACGAATAGTTTCATTCATTTGAAATTCTATTTATTAAAAGTAGATCAAAATTACCTTTAACTATCAGTTTCAATTATCAAATCTTATAAAAAATATTTCTAAATAAAAATTTTTCAATAGATTTTTAAAAAGTCAAAATCAAAACTTGTCATTCATTCTTTTTTGTCATAAATGCACAACTCGAAACTTGAATTCAACTATTCAATTATTCACCTGAGTGATG